TGGCAGGACTTGAACCTAGGTCTCCAGAACTTTACATGGGTATCTGGATTAACAGTCCAAGAATAATACCACTAGGCCATTGCCTCCCCAACTAAATTTGGTTGAGCCAGGTACAACAATCCTGGGCAAACTAAAGATCGAAACTCTTTATGTAGAGTCTTTAGAGTGTCCTGTAGTGCTTCCCATGACTATCATGTGAGTGCACTGCAAACTCAAACTCTCCACAGATAACTTGCTTTGAGTGTGGGTTGCTCCCGGTTTGGCCAATCCATTTTCAGCTATTCACATTTCCTGTTAGCATCCATTCAACCTTTACTTCTCTCCTGGCTTATTGTTAGCAATCCCTTTATCTTATTCTGCTTTGTTTTTCCTCTCTCTCTCTCTTTCTGGGCACCATTTCCATCTATTTGACTCACTGTTCCACCGACACCATCTCCCGTCATCAGCATAAATATCACCATTTTCTAGAGCTTTTGGTTCTGACAAAGGGCAACTGGACTCAAAACATCAACTCTCCCCACAAAGACTGCCGGAGTTGCTGGTTTTCTACAGCAATTTCTGTTCTTGTTTCAGACTGTACAACTGTATGACTCTTAAGTTGATTTAAAAATTAGCTACAATTGGTGGCTGAGCCTTTTCTGCTCAAGCCTGAAGTTTTGGAGCTCCCTCTTTGTCTTTCTCCTTCACTTTCCTCCTTTCGGGCACTCATTGAATACCTTCCTTTTTGGCTGAGTTTGTCGTCATTTGACCCAATATCTCCTTATAAGTTATTTTCATATTCTGTTTTGTCACATCCCTGTGAGGTGCCTTGTGATGATTTATTACATTAAAAGTGTTACATAAATGTAAGTAATTATTGTAGAGAGATTTGCTGCATTCCTTAGCTTGGTGCTAACATGGTTTGGGAGTGTATGGCCAGGGAACTTTCCTTCCTGTGTTCTCCAGCGACCCATGGCATGGAACTGACAGCTGTATGTTTATCCATTACTCTAGCTCATGAGGAAAAAGTAATCAATGAAGCAGAGTAGAGAAGTGATCTGGAAGGTTAATGAAAATATTTAGTTCTTTTACATTCCTGTATTAATCTTAAGAAAAAGTAGGTGCAATGGCTACGCTAAATTGATCATAGTATCCAGGGATGTGCGGGTTAAGTGGATTGGCCATGGGAAATGCAGGGGTACAGGAGGATGGGTCTGGGTGGGGTGCTCTTTGGAGAGTTGGTATTGACTTGATGGGCCAAATGGCCTGCTTCCACACTGTAAGGATACTGTGATTGTATGAATCTATGATATCCAGCATCCACAGTTTTCTGATTTATTTTAGAAAATCCCTACATTGCTAAGGGTAGGCGTGTTAGTGGTTACTCTCATCTGGATTTGCCCACCTGTCAAAGTGGTTTACAGGGATCTGGCTACAGTCCTGTGTTAACAGCTACATGGAGTAACAGGCGGAATTGGTTGAAGGTGAAGACCCAAAGAGTAGAGAAGCCTACCTAAGTGAGGTGCTATCCTTTCCTTGCACCATTACACCCTATGCTATGTGATACTTTATCAAAGGACTTTAGCCTATCACAGTATTTTACATGTACTGTATTAGGCTTATCTATTCTTTCTGATACTAATTTACATAGTTCATTAAAGTTGGTCAAGTGTGACCTTCTTGTGGAAATTGTGCAAACTGCTCCACAGGCCCCTGAACTTGTTCTACGTTCCATTTTAAATACATGAGTAACAATAGTAATCAGTCAATCCTCTGGCACTATTCCTTACTCTGATGATTGTTAATGAACAGACATCTATGTCTCTGCTATGTCTTCCATCTCTTCTTTACAATGAGTGTATGCTGGCCGGTTGCAGGGTTGGCAGCTTTGCAGTCGCAGGGTGCCACCACCAATGGTGCACTTGGAGCACCAGGCGATGGCAGGAGCACCTTGTTGCAGCTACCAGGGGCTCCTCTGCTGACCAAAGAGTATCTAGTTGTGAAGGCACCTGCCCAAAGTCCACTTTAAAAATGCCAGGATGCCTTGCCAAAAGGCAGAGGGCCTGTCTGCTGTTGGTGGAAATGCCAGTGGCAGTAGGAAGAGGTTCTTAATCGACCACTGAATTTGCACAATTGACTTCTGGGCATGTGGGTTGTCCTTCAACTTCATACTACAGTGTAATGGAATGGCTACCTTGAAAACAGTGCGTCACCTCACCCCTCTCCTTCCTTTACCATCTTATAAGCCACCTGACCAATTAGCTCATGCCCACAGGGCTGGTAAAATCCAGGATAAGATTTTAAAGGTGGCTGATATGTCAGAAGGACAGATTGGTTTAATGTATATTGAACAGTCAATACAAAGAAATCTGGTGAGTCAGGAGTTCAAGTGTTGAATTTAGTTGCGGGTAACACATTACTGGAGAAAAAAATCCAACAATGGAAATAAATGCAGTGAACGTTCGCTCAAGTGAGACCTGGGAGAAGAGATTACAGACAGAAGGCAGATTTGAAAAATTTGAGACTTTCTCATGGGAACAAAGAATGTTAAAGCAAAAAGTCATTAACTTCAAAGATTGTGAACGATATTGCAAAGATAAGTTGCTTTTTGAAAATTCAAAGTTTTTGATGCTGAGAAAGATTACTTTCTAACATAAATATAGTGGTTCAAAACCAATTATTGGAAAAAAATGTACAAAACGACTTTGAATTAAGAATGGAGAATAGTGAAGATTCTTTTCTAGGGTGACAAATTGTTAACAAGGGAGCCTACATTTAAGATTATCAATATTAAAATAAGGGGAAGGGTAAAGATTATTTGTCCAGACATGATGTTATTCAAACATAGAATGCTTTATCATAAGTGGCTATTGAAACAGAGAGACTGGGCTGAACTTTACTTTTTTGGCCAAATCCATGTTGCATTGGATCTTTTTGGAGAGCTTATCACCATGTGGCCTAGCGAATTCTCTTGACGTATCTTGGCAAACGTGTGCCTTATCAGAAGGATGTGAGACATTGCAGAGGAGATTCACCAGGATGTTGCCTGGGATGAAGAGTCTCAGTTATGAGGTGGGGCTGGATAGTCTGGGTTTGTTTTCCTTGGAGCAGAGAAGGCTGAGAAGCATAGGCAGGGTAGATCGTGAAAATCCCCATGGCAGAGGATATAAATCTAAGGTGAGGAATAAGGTTTGGAGAGAAATGGTAGAAATATACAACATGGTACCTGAGAGGGTGGTGAATGTAGGTACTCTGGCAACATTTAAGAAGCACTTGGACGTGTACTTAAAAACCAGGTCAAAGTGGGCAATGTTCCAATTGCAGGTAAATATGATTAACATAGTTTGGTGTTTGTTGATTGGCATAGAGATGGTGGGCCAAAGGGCCTGTTTCTATGCTATATGACTCTATCATTAATTCCCTACCCTGCCCCTATGTCATCTCTCATGGTTTGATTTGGGATTCATCTTACCACGCACCATTCCTTGCAATGCAGAGAGATGCAGGTTCAATTTCCATACCACCTGAGGTTACCATGAAGGTCCTGCCTTCTCAACCTCATCCCTTGCCTTAGGTGTGTGACCCTCAAGTTAAACCACCACCAGTCACCCCTAATGAGAGAGTGTGGTGACTTTACATTACCCAGAACCGTTCTTCACTTAGTGGATATCCTAGAATTAACTGTTGTCCTTTGTATTAACTCAATCTTTAAAAGTGCCCCCAGACAAGCATTGTCAGTCCAGAACTGCTGTGCACAGTTCCTGGCATTTTCTTAGACATGGCAGACAGAGGGAAATTGACACCTTAATTTGCGAGCAGTGTCCTGGAGCTCCTGGTGAATTGAATGGTGCAGAGGTGAGATGGCCTCTTTCCCAAGCAGGTCACAACACCAAACCATGCCAGCCTGGTGCGAGGTTGCCACCCAGGTTAAAGCAGTCCCAGTCACCTGAAGGAATATACAGTGTTGTATGAAGATACATCAAGACAGGTGGTGGGCTGCCTGACATTCATCTCCTCACTCGTTATGAAGAGAGGATCCTGACTCTGACTGCCGCTAGTGGCTGAGTGACCATTTTCAAGACCATGGACCTCTAGCAAAGATTGCCCTTAACCTACTGTACTGGGCCTCCCTGACCAAATGCTCTTCCCTTTCAGTTGACTGATGCCTCTTAACACCACGGCAAGCTCCTTCATGTCTACACTAAAAGC